TTCTCTTATTGGCTCACTACAAGATACAAATTTCCATTTCCAAGGATATTGAATTCTCATACAGTGTGGGTGAAAATTTAAGGGAGGGGGGTTCGGCAAATTTCCACCACTCTTATTTGAGTTTTTCATACTGCGCATGAGAAAATAAATGGAGAAGGAGTAAATTGTTGAAGTAGCAGTACCGAAGTCTTTAAAAGAGAAGTTGTGCTTCAAAATAGTTAGTCGAAAACAGTTAGTTGAAAATATCAGTCACACTTTAATTAAACAGTAGATATCTTGTCTGTTAAAATGGCTTCTGTAAATGAAGAATTTTCAAGTGACATTGAAGTGCTAGAATGGGAAAATTTGAAGGATTTAGTGTCCAAGGAATTTGTGCAGAACTTGGAGGATGAAGAGGATCAACCTCCAGCATACGAAATATTCGAGCAGGATTTAAATGAGGGATTTGAACGTGGCTTTAACGGTTATTTTGATTCATCGCCATCATCGCTCTCAGTCCTATACACAGAATAATTTAATATGCGTGCTTGCATTAAAAGACCGGCTCAGTCATCTACATTGCCACTGCGAGAAATCACGTTTTTTGGTAAGTTTATTTATCAAAATAAGATCTTAGATTCAAAGATGTAATGAAAATTTTTAACATGAATGAAAATGTAAATTTTTTGTTTCGTTTTAGACTTAGAGGGTAACTTTTTAACATGCTCTCCACACCTAAATAACATTGTTTCGGTAGAAGAAGCACTTCTCAACGAGGATACCTTGCCAGAAGCAAGACAGCTTACAGAGCTAAGTAAGTTTGGACGATTGGAAACACCATTAGACGATGAATTGTTATCACCATCGTTACACGCCTCCTTTTTCGGTAAGTAGTATAAAGGATTAAATTAGAACATTTATTTTGATAAAAAATTTCATTTTGTTTCAATTTTAAAAATTTTTTTATTTGTTTGTTTTCATACGGTGCTCAGGAGTTTATTTCTACCGACACGTGTCTTCAAGCATCTTTTTCGATGCGATCTCACGAGATCCCCACAACCGATTCTAGAAGTTGACCTCATGAAATCGCCACAGCCTATACCATTAGTTGACTTCTCGGGAACACCTCACTGTATTATTGACTTATTGTCTTCACCAGAGCTGCATGACATGAGTACGGTGAAAAAAAAAAGAAAATGTTTAGAGGATGAAACAGGCAGTCCTGATAAAAAAAGTACTGTCGTAGAGTTTTGTTTTAATTTTAACAATTGTAAGGTTTTTAATATTTGTAAATTTATTTGAGGATAAGTTACATTAATTTTATAAATTAAATTTTGTATTTGTACATATTTTTTATAAAAAATACACTAGGCAAAAATAAATAAAGTCTTGTACAACTATTTCCCTTTAATTCCTCATCCTTTATTATTACACAATGCGCATAATTCTACAAAATATCTTTTTGTGTAAGTATCGTATGTGCAAAATATTTGAATATCTAAGGAGACGCAATAACTCAACCAACGCTACAGGTAATGCATGCATACTGCACCGCGAACTCAAGCAGTGTTGCACATGGCGCGAAAAAGTGAAAGGAAGCTGCAACGCTACAGGTAATGCACGCATACTGCACCGCGAACTCAAGCAGTGTTGCACATGGCGCGAAAAAGTGAGAGGAAGCTGTTAAAGTCGCTCACCCATCAGCTGCATGAAATTCAAGCAGTGTTGCACATGGCGCGGGAAAACTCCGACAACGCTGCAGGTCGTGCACACAATTGGGAAGGGGTAGAAGCCTTTGCGCAGTTGCACATGGCGCGCGCAAACTCCGGCAACGCTGCAGGTGGTGCACACAATTGGGAGGGGGTAGGAGCCTTTGCGCAGTTGCACATGGCGCGCGCAAACTCCGACAACGCTGCAGGTGGTGCACACAATTGGGAGGGGGTAGGAGCCTTTGCGCAGTTGCACATGGCACGTGCAAACTCCGACAACGCTGCAGGTGGTGCACACAATTGGAAGGGGGTAGAAGCCCCTGCGCATGCTCAATGCGCACTTTTCCGTTTAGCTAAAACGTACCTATTATGAACCACATCAAGCTTTTGACTTCATTCACTTAATTACACTAGACCGAGTAGCATCGGTTACTTTTTTCTTTTAAAATGGAGTACATTGTAGACTTTCCGGGCTTTAAAAGCCTCGTCAACTATTTTATTTTTAAAGAAATTTCATTTGTTGACCTGAACAAGGATACTTTGCCAGTTGTTATTGTGCTTAACCCACCTTCTCCATTTGAGCATCTACCAAAAAAGTATAAAAAACATAATAAATGGCTAGAAGCTAATTTCAATGGTCTAAGTTGAGACTTTGGTGATATTTCTCACATGGAAGGAATAAACAATTCCGAGCGCATGCTGATTGATGCTGGAACAGTTTGTGTCAAAGGTTGTGAAAAGAAAAAATGGTTACAAAACATACTACCATGCTAGTACGTATTTTATGTTATTAGCTTAATAAAAATACCTTGAAAATAAAAAAATAATTTTTTTTCTTACGAATAATACAAACATTTTTTTTCAGAGTTAATAATGTTGAAGAGTATGGGTGTCCTGCTCTCAAAAATCTCGTACAAGACTATGAGCCATGCAAACATCACAGCTTTCATACTGATCCAGTATGTGCGGTGAAAAATGCTTTGGCTATGAAAGATTGGATGCAAAGTCAGGAAAAGTATGAAATTGAAAGAATTACATACTTGACCATTTATTCTTGTAAACGCAAATCAAAAAAAAAATTCTTTATAATTATTGTTAGAACAAATTAAATTTAAAAATATTTTGTAAGTCTAGTTTAGTAAATATAAATTTTTTTAATTTAAAATAAACAGATTAACCAAAATAAATACTAAAAATGTTAAACAATTATTTTTCTACCCTTTCACGTCCTACATCATCGTGCAACGCATTCGCTTACAAAAAAAATACATATACCCAACGCGTGCACAATCTGCACAAGATATTCAAACAGCGCGCGCAAACTCAAGCCTGCCAGACCCGCGCGCCCATTGGCTGCAAGGGGAGTCCAACCCATCGACGGAGAGGGGCTGCCGCGGGGAGGAGCATGCCACGAGAGGGGGGCCACCGCCATAAGGAGGGGCACGCTGCGAGAAGGAGCCACCGCCATAAGGAGGGGCACACCGTGAGAAGGGCTACCGAGGGATGGGGGGGCTGTGCTGGAATTGCCATAGCTTATCTACTCATATATTTTTGCACCTGAATAGTTATTTTCTACACGTGGAACTATTTTTGGCCTATTTGTCTTCCCTTTTTAGATAAGACTGTTTTTCTAATGTTGACTGGTTACGTCGTTACAAACGTTCTTCTAAGCTAATGTTAATATTCGTATAAATGTTTCTAAACATGCTATACTGAATAAAAAAAATTTTTTCTTACTTGTTCTTTTCATGATACAGTCAAAACAGGAAACAATTGAGATTATGTTTGTGCATAGTCCAACTCTGCTTTATTTGTGCACCTCAATCATGTAGTTCCCAAAAGTTGTTATTTTTTGCCATTTTTGCTTCCTTTCTGAGATGCTGCATTTTTTCTTGTTTTGAAAGGTAAGATTGTCGTACTATACTTATTTAATACCTTATGCACGTTTTTTTACATACATGTATACATTTGAACATGTATGTAATGACCGAGATGTGCAACACGTATATTTGTATACAAAATGCATACGTATGCTTTACTTCTAGTAAAGGTACAGCTGTTTTTTTCTGTACTTTTCTGATTTTTCCATACCTGTACCTCAGCATGAGAAAGCACATCGGTTCAGTGTTTAATTGTAGCGTATAGAAAAATACATACTTACATACTTATGATATACGTATTCGTTGATAGGTATAGTACCAGCGTAAGGGAAAGGGAGCAAGTGGCGTACAGACTACAGACAAGAGAAAGAGCGATGGAGCGGTAAACAGTAGAGTAGGGTGCGCTGTGAAAGAGAGAGGCAGAGTGGGAGGGACTGTATAAGAGAGGAGATTGCGGAGAGGGCTTAGGCCACAGGGTGGGTGCCTACGTTTTTTCGCAACGCATTTCCCCTCACGCAGTTGTTTACAGTTAAACATAAAAAGTTTTACTTGAAAAAGTTATGATGAAACTATTAACAAGAATATATAATGACACTATATGTAATATAAGAAGTGTTAAAATTCTTAAGTAGGGATAAGTGGGTTTAATGCGAGGTACCAGGCAGGGAGAATCGATCTTAGTAAACAGCAGTATTCCTGATACAGTTACGATATATAATAAATATGGTATCACTCAGATAATTGCACAACAGATGTTGGAATACACTCCTATCCATAGGTGGTGAGTGGATAGTCCTGGTGACTCGACTATAGTACGCTGTCACTGTAACCTAAACAAAAATTTTTAATGCTATTAAATCAAGTCTAATTCAACAGTGCTTGAACGTTAACAGCTGCAACTTCCAAAATATTCATACAAATTTAGTGTTTATACTGTTGTTAAAAGAAAAATTATTAAAATATAATAAGTAATGCATATATAGAATGTACTGTTATCCTTGTATAGTTATTTATATAAAATAATCCAAGTGTCTAATATATACGTCATATATAAAATAGATGAATATAGACATAAAACAATTTCAAAGAACTTTAAGTGTAATTTACTACATAGAGTCAATTCGTTGCCTTAAAAATGATGAAATAGTCGTTAACGTACCTGATGGCGTATATTTCCAGGGAGAGTACCAAGCCCGAAGGACTCTTTGAGCTTGCCCTGATTTTCAGGGTTTCTTGAATGATATCTTTTTTAGACACAGTTCCCAAGTTTGAAATAATGTCGTTGGCTTTAATGGGGTAGGAAAAACTTTAATCTATCACCTTAATAGAAATTATCTTACAAGTACCTAATATTTCTTACTTTTGATAATCACAAAAATTTTCCTGCTAGCCTGACTCTGCATCAGTCATGGATAAATAACTTATATTACAGGTGCACACCCCGTTGCCAAGCTCAAATCCTTCTTTCACAGTTATGCTTGCGGTATTTGGACAGTTTCTAGATCATGACTTAACAGCCACTGCAATTAGTCAGGGTAGAAATGGAAGCTCGTTAACATGCTGCCCGCCAAATGGTGGAAGCCATCCGGAGTGCTTTTCTGTCGAAGTTGGCCCAGGAGATCCTGTATTTGATCTTACAAATACTACTTGCTTGGAATTTATCAGATCTGCCCCTGCACCACAATGCAAGGTTGGCTCAAGACAACAGCTTAATCAAGTAAGTATAAACACTAATTGCACATATCTTTGTCTATATTTAACAGTGTATGGTTCCATAAAAAAATTTAGTAAAACATGGGTCTAAAACTAAATTTGGTTGATTTCCAGTAAACTTACTAAAGATAATTATAAAATTTATTCTAAAAGAATAACTTATTAAAAAAATATCGATGAACTATGAATATATTTAGGTGTACCATAGAAAAACTGTAGATCTTATATTACTCAGCTTTATCTTTGCAATCGTAAAATCAACTCATGAAAAACTATGCATAAAGGTATAAAATTATTTCTTTTACACACCAACTTAAATGCTCCAATTTTCTAATAAAAACCACATCTGGTAGTATGGCTTGCAAAAGTACATCAGACCTCTAGCAAATCGATAACATTTATACTTGAAAGTTTAATAAAAATTTTCATCACCTGAAAACTAATTTAATTAACGAAATGTTCAAAAATTTATTATACATTTTAAATTTAACTGCAAAATTTTTTTGACTTTTTGGATTTTACGTAACAAATAACTAAAAACAAATAGGTTAAGTGTATTAATACTTCACATTGTTTTGAATTACTGAAAGAACAATTAAGTGTTGTGGTCCTTACTTGATAAAGACTAATTTTTTAATAATATTGAAGGTAAAAAGAATTGCAACAACTCAACGCTTATTATTAAAAAATCTTGACCTGTTTATTTATGTAAAGACATAATCATGCAATACCTGTTTAAGCAAACTAAACCTTCTACAGATGTAGAAGATTACAAGCTGGACGTATTCAGCTTCACAGCTAATCCATCTAATACAAACACATAAGTAGATGAACACGTCCACATATCAATAAAAACATTCACAATTTACGTCGTTAGTACTATAGATATTATCAATTTTAAAGTAGCGTATACATAGATCAAATCTAATTGACAGTTAAGTAATCGGTCAGATTTTTTCAAGCTATTTATTTCAACTAGCCTTAGTGCATCTAGTAATTTGTTTTTCGTAGCTTGACGAAAAATTTCATATTCAAGGTTAAATATGTGATTTCATTCTAATAAGTAGAAAGCATAGTGTGACTGTATGGCTTTTTTTACTAAAAGATTAAAACCGTTTACTAATACGTACATCAAAATTTCCACCTGTTTTTACAACATAATATTTCTTGCGTTAACTGCATTTCAACAGTAAATATAAGATTTCTTACCTTTTACGGTTTTGCTTTTAGTACTTGTAATCGATAATTGTAATGCTTTTATCGTGATAAATGCTATTTGAAGGTTACATGACTTCAATCTTTTTGCAATAATTTCTGAGATTTTTCAAAGTATGTAACAGTATTATACAATTCCTTACCTTTGACAAACGCTTGATATATACTGTTCAGAGCTTCTTTAAACTTAGCTTTCTCAAGCTTTCTCACTTTTAGAGTGTTAATTAAGTTCGAGCAACAATAAAGGAAGGTAAATCTGGTCACTGAAAAATTGGAGTGTATAGCCAGACAGCTGTATAATTTGATTCTTTTGCACAATTACATACGTGAGTAACAGTAGATAAACACATATTTGAACATAACAGGTCAATATCCAAATAAATGATCAAAGAGGATAATTAAAGAGTTCTTAATGTAGGTATTTTTCAACATAATCGAAGTTTTATCCGCCCGTTACATAATAAATCATTTAATTTTTTTAGCTGATAATAACTGTTTTCTTTACATTTCGGAAAGTTCCGAAAATTCCATGTGAAATCATTCTGTAAGTTGTACCTATATAGGTATATAAAATTACTATATATATATATATATATATATATATATATATATATATATATATATCAACGTGTGCGTGGAAGACTATCACAGAATGACGTTACTCCATGTTATTTTAAATGGGATGACGTCAAGTTGTAGTAATCTTTCATGCACACGTCGATATGTAGACAAACTAGGAAGTCTAGGTAGGACCGAGGTCTTATCCTGTTACATCGTACCACCATCTAACACAACGTATTTGCCACACGAGGACCAATGTATGCTTGCTAGGGTGCTTACGTAGAAAATTTCTAAACAGGGATTTTCGATATTTTTCTGGCTCATTTATTATCTTGAAAATCTATATTTAACCTGTTTCTTGTATTCTTGTTTAATTTCACTTTCAAATTTTCGCTCCATTTTTTGATGCTGAGAGAAAGAAAAAGAGTACAAATATACTACTCTCGCTGTGGAAAGAACATGTGGTGGTATGGGATGAACAGGAACATAGGGAGCAAGAAAAAGTGTGACGCTTTCCTCTTTTTTTGTCAAGTAAGGGCCCTACATGAGAAGCTTTGCTTAAAAAAAAATATTTTTGGTAAGTACACCAGCATTTACTCGTAAGTATCAGTTGTTTTTTACAGTAATGGCTACGATTATACATGAAAGTGTTTGTACTCTGATGTCGGCATAATTAATTCTGCACCTTGTAATCTTAGCCTCTTATCGAAACTTTTTTATTTTAGTTGACTTCTTTGGATAACTAAATTACGGAGAGTCGTTTTTAATTGACATTAAAGTGAAATTTTTTGTTGAATGTGTTATTTTTTAATTGATTTATATGTTTCTTAAAAGGATCCTTTGTAATACGTTTTAAGTTTTTAATGTTACTTAAAATAAGTGTTAAATATATATTACTAATTTTTAATTCACTAACGTTTCATGAATCACTGATTATTTGCACGTGTAGTACTTTAATTACCTTTTCATGTATCTATCTATTATGTAATAGATTGCAGGTGTTAAGAATGGGTCACAAAAAACATGGAAATTAGAATGGGTACAGAGAGATAGTTGGTGCAAAAAGGACTAAAGCTGACTGCTTCAAGTCCTCAAAAGTTTTTTTAGGATCACATGGGCTTTTTATAAAAACTCGCAGGTAAAATAATTCAGTTATTAAAATGTTCATTCTAAAAATAATTTTATATTGAGTGAGACGGGATAATTTTCCATTCTCGAAATTAAAAAACCATTTACTCCCATGGATTGAAATATTTTCTTATATGTTATAAGTAAAGAATTAGTATTCTTAGTATACTACTTACTTTTATTTTTTCTTCTTCTATGTTTTTATTTAGTGAAAACTGTTTGAAACTACTAACACAAGATGTACGTACAACAGATAATGGACTAAATGATTCTGAAGCTATCCCAAGTATTCAGATTCCATGGAAAATTTAACCTACAGCTAACAATTTGGACATTTCGATATTTCTGCAGCATATTGTTGCGTATGACTGTTGTTACCCCTTGATAACATTTCTTATTATTTTTAAAATTAACATCATCATGCAGATGTCGAAAAAGTATTATTTAAAATCTCTTAATATCATGGGTCTCAAAGTGTATTAGATAAAAATTTAAATAGAAAAATTCTCAACAACATCTTCGAAGCATGAGCAATCATCTTCGATTATGAGTAAATTATTATCGAGTAAATTAGTATGTATACTAGTTATACTATTACTAGTGTTAAGGAAAATAACTGTGTTAACCTTGAACATGTGCTTCAATTTTTATTATATTTTTGTTACATAATTCTTACTACATTTTTACTATACTACGTTTTCATACAAGAAAAATTTTGTATTGTCCTTGAAAGTGTCTGCTGTTATTTTTTACAGCATACAAATTTTTAAATAATTGTCTAAATTAACGATTTATGATGTAAGATGTTCATGCTCTGCCTTAGTAGCGCACAGATTTTCTTAAATTTGAAAATTTTTTATTTGTTAAAAAGGAGTTTATTAAGAAAGTGTTTTAAAAAATTTGAAGAGCCAAGATGTAATAATAATTCAGTAAAAGCTCTTAGAATTGCTGATCCAAGTGCAGATGAAGTAATCGAGTATACAAGACGATGGCATGATATGAAAGATGTGTGTGTATAAATGTATTTGTTCAGATGACGAATAATAAGACAACCAACGTCTAAAGATTGTAGTGTAAAATTAAGCCAGTTCACATCAATTGAGATGAAGGAGGTAGATAAGACAAGAATTAGTTGCATTATTAAAGATAGTTATTACAGTGGAATGTACGGACGTTGAAATTCATAACCGTGTGAAAATTGTTGGATTCTTAGAAGACATTATTTCCGAGAAGACACCAAGTGCCAGTACATGACAGTTTGGCTATACTGAAATGTGTATAAATAAATAAACAAACATACATTATAGGTTAGGTAGGTTAGCATAGTCGTTCATATATGTCTACATGACTACATATGCCAAGAGTTGCAGAGCTTAGTATAGGAGTAAATATGTATACAATAGTTGAGCAGAGACAAACATGGGTTTTCAAACTAAAAACATGTCCCAAACGGAGAGAGAGCGAGAGAGTAAAATGTAGCCGTTTTTGAGATGATAAAAAGAGTTCAAGAATTACAGGAAAAGCTTCCGCAAGAGCAGACAACTGATGTGGTTGCACTGCATAGGAACAATGAGTAGTGGAAGAAAAGCTAGAGGTTACGCTAAAATAGCTAGCACTCACAGCAGGATAAAGACCATGTGTAACCTTGAGAGATGTAGAAGGCATGATCCTTTGTTTTTCAGGTAAAGTTGCCGCAGATCCCATAAAAATGTGGGTGAGGAAATTGATCAGCTGTCGACTGTTTATGCGTGGACAGTGACTAAAACATAAGTCACAGCAAAAAATACTTATATGGTGTGGCAAAAATGTGGTAACAGCGCGAAAATAGCATCACGTCATGATTTTTGTTCAAGACTTATTTTCTAGCCTACTTTGCTGAGACGCGTAATGGTGTAGTTGCTACATTCACACTTAAGCAAAAAATAAAAAGACAACAAGCAAGTCCACACTCAGCTATGTACAGGATATAACGACGATTGGATTGCGAATAAATCTGTCAGAAGACGTAATACTGTAATATATATCCGATGGTACTTCTGACTGTGCAGCAAATAAGGTTATACAATATAGCACCAATATGAGAAAGCTGCTTATAGTACA